AAGAGTTAATGTTAGCTCACGAGTAGCCCAAGATATGGGATATATGAAAGAGACAGTGGGAAGATTGGAAAATCAAGTAGACTCTTTAGCTGAAGTAGTCCTCCAAAATAGAAGGGGACTAGACCTTCTCTTTATTAAGCAAGGAGGCCTATGTGTAGCTCTTGGAGAAATGTGCTGCTTTTAGGCAAACCAGTCAGGAGTCATTAGGGAAACATTAGCCATGGTACACAGAAATCTAAAAGAAAAACATTACCACGGGACATAAGAACAGAATCTGTTCCAGTCGTGGTATAACTGGTCCCCATGGCTCACCACCCTAATGTCTGCAATAGCTGGTCCCATAATATTAATTCTTATTTTTATGATCATTATCCCTTGCATCTTAAAATGCATCCACACTCATATCGCTAGTACAATTTCAGAGGCAAACATAATGGTCACAAGGATGTACTATAACCCACTCCCAGGAGAAGAGTATTACCTCAATGGTTTGAGGTAGGGGACAACAGCCAGTGGGGAAATGTAGGACCCTGTGCAAAGAGGGGCCATATAAGAAGTTAATAAGGTTGAGGTGACTAGGTACCTAATTTCGCTATTTGCTTCTGTGAACATAGCTTGCTACTTATGCTGAGTCACCCTGCTCTTGCTGCAACCGTGAGATAAGATATCAGCCATGAAGAACTGGTAACTGCAAATAAAGTATGCAGGAGTTGCAGCTGTCTATAAAAACATGAACTTTTCCCAAGACGGCGCAGATCTCAGGCAAACTGTAAGAGGTCCACCACTGGCCGGCTAATAAAAGCTTGCTTTTCAACCCACCAGGTTGAGCGTGTGGGTGATTATTGAGATTACGGACTAACAAGAGTGCAGTAAATAATACTGTTTAAAAAACAGTGATATGCTGGCAAGTGTTTTGATGCTGTGCTATAAAAGATTAGCTTCTTTAGAAGCTTATGAATCTTTACCCAACGTATTTGCCATGACTGCCATTAGCTCACAGAGTTCAAGGAAAAAAGTCCGAGACAAGAGTCAGAGGGTAAATAAGGAAAAAAAATAATCAAAACAAAAAACCCAAACAACAACAACAACAAGAACAACAAAACAAAACAAAAAAAAAACAGGAATTCTCCTCCCTATCTTAATTCTCAAAGACAGGAAATCTTAATTCTTCTTGCATTATTTTCAGCATTATTTCCACCCACATGGCAAGACTCTAAAATAATATTGCAAAACACATACTTAGGCAAGTTAGACT